CGGTTACGCTCCTTGATTGAAGCCAATCCCTACGAAACGACTCGCTCTCTAGCGGCCACACTCGGCTGCTCCAAAAATTCTGTGAATAGGGGTATTCGCTCCCTTGGGAAAGTCCTAAAGCTCGGACAATGGATTCCCCATGACCTGACCGATGTCCAGAAGAGAACGCGGGTGGAGTGCTGTCTACAACTTCTCTCCCGGTCTCGCCGAACGGACTGGCTGGACAACGTCATCACCGGGGATGAGAAGTGGTGCCTCTACGTGAACCACACGCGGAGACGCCAGTGGCTAGATCCATCCCAAAGGGCTGAACCGGTCGTGCGATCAGATCAAGCCAGCAAGAAAATCATGCTGTGCGTGTGGTGGGGCGTTCGCGGAGTCTACCATTGGGAGCTTCTCCCTCCCAACGCCACGGTGACGAGCGAAATCTACTGTGATCAACTGCAAACTTTGGCGGGGAAGCTTCAACTATTGTCTCCAGAACTCGACAAAGTATACTTGCTCCACGACAACGCAAGGCCACATGTCTCGTCGATGACACAACACCAGATCCTGAACCTTGGTTGGGAAATCCTACCCCACCCACCATACAGCCCTGATCTAGCCCCTTCTGATTACCACCTATTCTTGTCCCTGAGTAGCCATCTTGCGGGCAAGAAATACGATTCTCAGGAGGACCTCAAAAATGACCTCACCACCTTTTTCAGTTCGAAACCGCAAGACTTCTGGAAGCGAGGCATCCATTCTTTGCCTGGTCGTTGGCAACAAGTTGTTGATAATAACGGTGCATATATTGTTCATTGATATTGCATGCTTTTGAAATAAACATTAATAAAAAAAGTTTGAAATATGCACGAACTTTTGGGACAAGCTAATAGTTATCACCTCCCGCCACCCATCATCAGTGTTCGTGTCCACCCCCTTTCACACCATCAAAGTTTGAGCGCTCTGGAAATGAAGTAAAATTATGAATCTCTGGTCAGACAGACACGACCGCTTAGCGGATTCTATATAGTGGGACTCTCCACCTACTTCAATGGCTCTTTTCCTCTTGTTACGCAAAGCATAGATGTCGTCCTCTGAGAACTACACTGCGTCTCCTAATGATACAGCCACCTAGAAATTGTTCAAAATCTCGAATTCCACAAAATGGAAAAATGTCCAACAGGAAAACTGTGTCAAATTTGGTCGCGAATTCGAAAATCAACACAAAATTCCAGGTTGAAAATGCGAAAAAATTTATCCTAATTTTTCCAGAAAGGGTCGCTTTTCCTATCTCCTAAATGATACAGCCACCCCGTGTTTCTTCGTTGCATTTCATTTCTGCTCGATGAAACTGGTCAACTTTTCGTTTTCAGTATTTCAGGAAAAGAAAGCAACTGTTGCACTTCAGAAAAGTGCAAATCGTTGGAAGAGAAAAGAATTAATCCCCAGATTAACGATGATCACAAGGTGCGACAATTTGGTCGAAGTCAAATTAGCGATTTCTTGAATCCTGTAGGAAATGGAACTTAAGAAGGGCTCCGGACGTTATTCTTCGCTTTTTGATTAAGATAAACGCGACATTATGAGAACAGCACCAAATTTCACCAAGGCGTGTTCGGAAGTTGAGTCTTCTTTAAAACTTAATCTCCTACTGGATAGTGCTGGGTGCAATAAATAACTTCCAAGATCGTTTTCGGCGGAAAATGAAAAGGAGAGTGTTTGTGAAAAAAACGGTTGCGGAAACTGAGTTTTTTCTGCTACAAAAGGGTAGCCAAGACAACCGAAGGAAGATCAGCTCTTTGCCTCTTCTGTTTTACTTCTTATCTGCTTTACCTTTGGGTTTTCTTTGCTAATAAAAGCTTTCAAAGTAAAAGACGAAACCATCTCGTTGAAACAATGACAGACAAGAAGTAAAACATAACAGGCCGAAAATGGATCCTGCTCCGGTTGGCTTGGTCAGACTTCCCTTGCAAAAATGACTCGGTTTTCGCGACGGTTTCTTTTCAAAATCACCGTCTTTTCACTTTCAGCTTAAGAACGATCTTGGAAGTTGTTCAGTACATACCAGCACTATACAGTAAGAGAACTCAACTTCCGAACAGGCCTTGATGAAACTGGGACTGTTCTCGCTTATCTTTACCAAAAAGCGAAGAATAACGTCAAGAGCCCTTTTTTAGCTTCATTTTTACAGGATTCAAAAAGAAATTGCTAATCATTCCGTAGCTTCGACTGTGTTCTTCTCGCGCATGTGACCACCTGGCGCTTAATTTTTCTTTTTTGTGACGATTTGCCCTTTTTCGAAGTCCAATAGTTGCTTTCTTTCCTGATAACCTAAGAAAGAACAATTGAGGACTGCCAATCAGTTTCATGAAATGCAACGAAGAAACACGGGGTGGCTGTATCATTTGGAGACATAGGAAAAGCGACCCTTCTCTGGAAAAATTAAGGTAAAATTTTTTCGCATTTTCAACCTGGAAAAGTGTTGATTTTCGAATTCGCGACCAAATTTGACACAGTTTTCCTGTTGGACATTTTTCCAAAAACTTTGTGGAATTCGAGATTTTGAACAATTTAGGTGGCTGTATCATTTGGAGACGCAGTGTATTTCAGGTCAGCCTCAGAAAACTAAGACACTGGAATTTTGATTCCATCGCCGTCATTGAATTTCGCTGCTAAGGACTGCCGCATTCACCAAATTCAATAAAATGCGGACGGCGCCAGATCCGTGCTGTTCAGTGCGTGAGGCGGATCGTTCCAGCCCGAATGACATGTTATTGGTGATTTTCATTACATGTGGTCTTGCGTGCAAAATGGCCTAGCCGAATTTCCCCGTTGACGACGCAGTGGTTGGTCCACGCTGGCGAGTTGCAGTGCGTAGGCTTCGGCTGAAACTGGAGACCTACAATCGGCACTTCACAGCACCCAAGCTCTGTACTCTTGACCATACAAAAACAAGACTATATTCCGTGAATGTCCGATTTCAGATTCACCTTGAGCTGTTCCATCAGCTGCCAGCATGACCGTCTTTCTTATGAGGGAGCAAATTTCTATCTGAAAGGTCTTACCAGCCACATGTAGGAACTTCGATTTTAGTGTTGACGGAGTCAGATCCAAATCAAACCTCATGCTAAATGTTTTGCACACTTTAGGAGAAACTCTGTGACCGTCTTTCCTTGCTCGATGTTGTACCAACTGCAAGCGCGCAGACGATATTTGTGATCGGTCTTCGAGCAAAATCCTAGCTTAAACAACATTCACTCACTGGCACCAGTTTTGTGGTACACTGCGCTTAATGAATAACGCACCCGAAATATTGCAAATGTAGTTTCTAACAGATCCATATAGACACATAACGGGACTGATAGGAACCACTATTCTAAATATCTCAATTTGCAACCCTTTTCATGATCACAAAAGAAAAAATTCGGTATGTATAACAAGAGAAGATTAGCAAGTGGAACTGTTGATGGCCCGTTTGATAAATATTGACGCACCGCACCAATCCACACTTTCTTCTTGAAGACAAGCAAATAACACTTCAATAATTAATTGTTCCTCCATGCATGGAGGTTGCATCGAAAATCCGCTTTAAAGGAGGAATTCACGATTAGAATGAAGGTCGAAGAAAGGGAAACTGACCTAGTTGAGGGACCCACGGACCTCCTGAGGGTGCGAACTGACGCGCAATTCGCATGGAAAAATTTGACCTCGGCGACCTATCATGCCTCAAAGCTGGCGGGTCCGGCGATCTCCGCCCACCGATCATCTGATTCAACGTCGCGGAGTTTTCAAATTACGTTGGCGACGCTTTGAGAAAGAGTAGTGTTACAAGATGGGCACAGTGCGATGAGCACAGGTGCATCAATGCACGAATCAACGGGCAAGGAGGCGGTACAATTTCGGGTTTGGCAGGTCAGGTCTACCGTCGCTATTTTTACAAAAAGTTTTCCGACCCCTTCCCATAAAAATGTTTCATAGACCCTTTACATTTTTACTCCCAAAAAGCATTACCCAGATCGAGCGGACGGTAGGGAACGGGGCGCCGCACGGTGTGTCCATAAACCGCTATAATTCCCTAAGTGTTTCCTGCAAGTTTACCTATATTTTACCAATATTTTCAAACTATACTTTTAAAGGAGAAGGGGGGAAGTAGCAAGTACGGCGCCTCTACAAACGTCAGTCGAAAATTACGACCCCCCCCCCGTTGCTATTGAACTATTGTAACATGCAGTAGGTGTGACCTGTTCTGGGCCGTTTTATCATGGCTATTCCTTCATTCGTGTACATCGCATCCCTAGAGGTAATTTGGAATATATTGGTTGCTTTTTCATCGTGAATTCGTCCTTTGATATTGATCTTACCAATCTAAGCAGACAAGCGTTCCACAATGGCCTGCTGCTACTTTGATAAGCATTTGTTAAAAAAAAAGGTTTTGCTGTCAGTGAAAAAGCGAATGCTTTAAGATGTTCTACAGCTGCGTGTTGCTCAAATCTAGCTCGGAGCTTCAACTTGTTGCAGCTTCTATCAAAAGCGTTCATTACTGATGGTGTTCTGAAAAAATCCTGTCTGCGATATAAAGCTTCGAAAACCTGTGCTATCATATGCATAGTGCTAGAACGGATACAGAACTCATCCTTCTTCGAGCTCATTGGATCATCTGCTCTTACAAAGTTCACAGATGCCGTGTTTCTTCTGCATAAGCACAGTAAAACCATTACTTGACGACATGAATTCATTCATGGATGTCAAACATGTGCAAAATTCAAAACTAGACGGTAAATGAACCTTTAGTAAGACGATAAGAATTTCTTTTGCCAACGAATGGGTCATCGTGACGGGAACACACTGTGCTGGTACGATGTCTTTAATGTTCGACCAGCTGAATATTTTCATACTGATTTTGAAATTGCTTATTTTTTGTCCTCTTCTTCCTTGAAAATTGTGTCATAGTTGATTTCATGATGATCTGCATGGATGCAAGCCCAACGTTTTCTTTCAAAAACAGCATTTTTCAGATAAAGTGCAGCAAAAAAAAAGGTGAGTGCATCGAGTATATGGTTCGGTTGCGATGGGTCTAGGATGATAATGGTTCAGAAAGATATTAAAGGAAGTGGTCACGATAATTTTCATGGGAACGATAAGGGAAGCTATATATTGGAGTGGATAGAGGTCCTGCCCAGTGTTACAACACGTGGAAAGTTTCAGTGGCAGTGGCGCCTTATCAACGGAGTGATAAGGCGCCGAAAATTCACTTCCGTTCAGCAAAAACCAAGACTTATCGATGTGGAAAGGGGTGCGATAAGAGCGTGCTAGATATGATACCGTTATCGTTATCGTCCCGTTTTCATTCTGGAGTGCACCTCTTATCAAGCAGCCGCACCTTCTTATCTCATCGTATCATATCTTCCATGGGCTTACACTCGTCCAACAATTACTGCCTCACACCTTATCGATTGATAACGCGAGGGTAGCAAATCCAGCGTGGAAGCCAGCGTTGATCGCTCTTTAAATGTGGCCTAATCGCTCTGGGATGAGAGAATACCGCTCTTCTTCAATTGCGTTCTTCCCATCGGAATTTCACGAGGAACGCCGGCAATAGCACAAATGCTGTCGTCGATTCACCAGCTTTCTTGGAACTGTTTTCTGCGTTATATAAGAAGGTAACATACGAAGGGGATAGGGCGGAAGTGGTGTAGTGACAAGTGGCGCGCTTACCACGCGAGCGGTCCGGGGATCAAATCCTGGGTCGTGAGTCGCCCGGGGCCAACCAAGCCTTCCATCCCTCCGGGGTCGGTTAATTGGTACCAGACTTGTCTGGGAGGATAAAAACACTGACTTGAACATCGGCTGGCCCCCGCAAGTCATTGTATAGGCCACATCGCATTCAAATGCCACTGCGAATGTATGTATTAGGTTGTCTCATAAATAGTGTCGCTTTTTTTCAACCAGAAAATTTTGATCTAAATCCCCATGCTTTTACAGAGAGTTATATACCATTCAAAAGAGAATTGTCTGCTCTACAAAATATCGTGTTCTTCTTCCATCTATGTTTCAATGGTTTTCAAATTTGAGGCATGCGAAATGGGAGGTCCGCCGACAAAAATTGACCAAACCGACAACTAGCTCTAACTTTATGTTCCCTTCGGAGAAATCAATCAATGATGTACCCTCTACTTATGCATGACCTCTTCTAAACATTACACTATTAGGTTTCCCAACAAGTCGCATCATTCCATTTCCAGACCCGGTTTTTCAACCAGAACTCGACGGTTGAGCACCATTACCTGAGATCGAGGTCGAAATTTTTTTACAGCCGAGACATTGAAAAACTAGTAGAATTTCAAGAACAAGTCGTGACTAAGTTAGGAATGTACGCCTGGTTGGTTTTTTTCATCATCCTCAAGGATAATTTCTTTCAAAGAAATGCGGTCACTTTTGTGGACAAAGCACCTTACTCCTAAACCCTAAAATTCGAGCTAATTCCTAACAAACATCAAAACAAAACAAATGAGCGAATAAAGCAGAAGAAGTGCTCACAAAAGATATACCAGTTGATATAAAACAATAGCGTTTCAGAGGAAGAATTTCAATTTGAAAATTGCCATGACTTATCGGTTGGCCAATTCGAAAAGAAACAGGGCAAACCTTTTTCGGCAACCTAAGGGTGGAATGTTCAGAAGAGGTCATGAGTAAGTAGAGGGTACATCATTGATTGATTTCTCCGAAGGGAACATAAAGTTAGAGCTAGTTGTCGGTTTGGTCAATTTTTGTCGGCGGGACCTCCCATTTCACAGGCTTAAAATTTGAAAACCATGGAACATAGATGGAAGAAGAACACGATATTTTGTAGAGCAGACAATTCTCTTTCGAATGGTATATGACTCGATGTAAAAGCATGAGGATTTGGATGAAAATTTTTGGTTGAAAAAAAGCGACACTATTTATGAGACAACCTAATAAATATAAGTAAGAGAGCGAGCCACATCCCGAAAAGGGATTGATCAACGGCAAATGCTTTATCCTTTATTTATCCTTTTATAGGGGTACATTCAGGGATCACTAAACCTTGTTCCAGGCTTCCCGAATGGCGCATGAATGCTAAAAGGTGTGAAGAAGTGATTCGAATCCCTGTGGTTTTGCAACAATTTTTTGCATTTTTAGTTGACGTCAAAAAATTCGCGAAAAGTGGCTTCAGAGTCCCAAATGCCATATAAAAATATACCTTTATACCTAGACTTTAACTGAAAAAAATGATGAATAAAGTTACGACACCAAATGGCACTAATGTGGCGCCCAGTGGGGCCATTGTGAAGTCAGATGACTCATAAGTCCAAATCGAATACATATTCGTAATCAGGACACTGAATAATCGCATACCCAAATTTTCAGACGAGAACAAGATTTCGACCCAATCAAATGGTGGGTCCATGAGTGAGTAATCAGTCAGTCTCGACGTCGAATAATTTGCAAGCGATCTCCTCGATATCCTCTTCATGAGATGGGAAATCCTATCCATACACTGCGTTTCATAATTATAATTCCACCTTGGAATTTCCCAAAATCTTGCAAATTTAGATGTTTCAGAAAAAGTCTCCAATGTGCAATGTGGCAAATACAAATACGAAATTGCCTGTGAACATCAACTTCCAACTTGAGATCCAGGAATTTTTTCTAATAATTTTTGTGTAAAAGGCCACTTAGCCGACGTCCCAAAATTATACGTCCACCTCACGTTTATCGATTACTTTTCACTTCTGTTCCACGAAACTTTTTCATTGTGGTAACACTTCACTTCTTAAGAGGGCAGTGTAATAAAACTGCTGTAGGACTTTGAGAAAGGAGGTCGCTGCAAAATCTGTTGAATGAAGCAATCGCGCCAGATTTGGACCAATTCACGCCAAGCTCAGGAATTCCTTAAGGGATTCCGAATGATATGAAGTTCAGAAGAGCGGCAAAGATCACGTCCTTGCTTTCTGATAGAAATGAAGGCCGTGCCGCAAGAGAAACATCCACTTCAACCAAGTCGTGCTCTGTCATCGAATCTTTTTCAAAGCTTTATTTCTTAATGGACTAATGTTTCGTGCGTGTGAGGGAATACCAAGGTTCATTCTTGAGTGGAAATTGTGGAAGGCACCACCTCTGTCAAAAAAGGAAATGAAAAATATGGTAAAACAAACAGATAAGTGCTCAAGCATAGCAAGCAAAAACGGGCCCTACTCTAGTCGGCTCGGCTGCATCTTCATGCAAAATCGGCCCAATTTTCGCCATGGTTTCTTGCCACAGATGATGCCTTCCACATTTTCCACTCAAGAATGAACTTGGGATTCCCTCACAGCACGAAACATTAGTCCGTTGAGAATAAAGTTTTGAAAAAGATTCGATGACAGAGCACGACTTGGGTGAAGTGGATGTTTCACTTGCGGCATGGCCTTCATTTCCATCAGAAAACAGGAAGTGATCTTTGCCGCTCTTCTGAACTTCATATCATTCGGAATCCCGTAAGGAATTCCTGAGCTTGGCGTGAATTTGGTCCAAATGGCGCGATTGCTTCATTCAACAGATTTTGCAGCGACCTCCTTTTCTCAAAGTCCTACAGCAGTTTTCATTACACAGCCCTTTTAAGAGGCTAAATGTCAGTACAATAAAAAAAATTCCAAAAACCAATTCGAGACAGGGCTGGGCATGTCCTAGGACCTTCCTAGTAAGATCTTGATAGTCGACCAATGAGGGCGGAACCAGACTGTTTGCTGTCACCACTGAGGTACTCATTGCGTAGGTTGTGCAGGTTCGGAAAAAGCCTTGATAGCTTCTACACCTCTTTCTTCACATGTCCATTGTTAGCCTGAATATGTCCCAGAGACACCTCTCCGTTTCAGTTTTTCTTCAGTAAGGGAAGGAAGAAATCTGTATGGCTCACTTATTAGTAGAACAATGTCCTCTTTTTCCATCTGCTTCTCAATATTCTGTGTGGTTTAATGAGCCGTCTATTCTCCCTGTAAATTTGTTCTTCTCGCTTCTCACTTTTCTTTCCAAGACCTGTACCTCACGTTTTTCTTTCTTGTCTCACAGATAGCCATTTCTCTCTTGACCCTTTTGTACCATAAAAGTTAGTTGCCGCTCTCCGTGCTCGGTGCTGAGGGGGGAGGGGAAAGGTGGGGGAAGGGAGGGGAAGGAGAGGAAGGAGAGGTCAATAGGACAATAAGGCGCAATCGACTCTTCTTCTTGAGGGTCCGCGGTCACGTGTATGCCCCACTGGATTCATAGGTGCAACACTACTGCTCAGGTACAGACTGCATCAGTGACTCTAGCCCGTCTGTGCTGATGCTCAACGATGCGTAAAAGAAGGTTGGCTCGGCTTCGAAGCCCTAAATAGTTATATTCTCGTCATTATTATGAGACGCATAAAGAGTTAACTCGTAACCACGATGCATTTCTCTTTTTCTGAAGTGGTTTTGCATTCCAGAAGGACCAGTAGAACAGTCATCGGGCAGTGACGCATATGAGGACGGTGAGGTAGGGTGCTTTCGTTCCATGAGTCAAGATCTGGTTTTTCGATTAGCTTCTCGTCTAACACTTGCGTAATAAAAACCTGTAGCATCTGGTTTCTAGCAGTCTTAGCACCAATCGACTGCCATTTTTTCACATAAGTTCGTCCATTCTTTGTTCGTGGAAGGGGGCGAAATCGCTAGATAGCTCTCTACTACGTAGTGTTAATACTTCTACTTGATTACCTTCCACTGCTTCTTCCATTTATGTTCTTTGTGACACCGATATTCATGATGCAGCTCTGCCTGCTACGGATAAGATTATTTTGATCGGCACTGTACCGCGAATCTTTCGTAAGAGTCGCTGTATCATCAAAGGCTAATAGAGTTGTAAAAATTTCTAAAGTCTCAATCAATTAGTAAGCCAGAACTTACTTGTTTTTCAGAAAAGTTCCGAATTAGGAACCGCTGTGTCACAGTACACCACTGGCACTCTCGAGAGCAAGAAGCCCATCGACTCAGTAGATGTGTCGCATTCAGCACCTACGATGTCTTCGGCATCGTCGGTTCCAAAGACAGCTATAGCCGGCTCGACGCTATCAGTGGCATCTACAGCGAACTCAGCGACATTGACTGCAGGTATAAAGACGGCCATGAGCGCGGTTGCTAGGCCGCCTCACCCAGCAGCATCTGTGAGCCAATTTAAATCAGGGCCAAAATCTACAACAACGGCACATGCGGCACAGTCGATCAGCAAAACCAATTCTGTGAACACGGCAATTAGTAGCAAGGATCCAAGGAAAACAAAGAGGTGGAGAAAAGTAATCAACAAACCACCGCCACGTAATGATGAGGTTGGTTACAAAGCATTTAATCAATCAAATGGGTTTCTTGAAACTGCAAACTTGAACTTCAACGACAAGTGTATTTATTAAGGACTGATCATATGGCCATATAGCTCCTGCCACACCTTACTATTTGCATGACTAACCTTTTGCATGACTTGGTCTTGCTGTGTGTCTATGCAGTCGATATCCGAAAGTTGGGGTAGGCGTGTCACCGGAAGTGACGTGCACTTGATAGAAGTTGCGTGGATAAGCTGTTGCCAGCATGCTTTGCTGATATCCAGCGATGTATGTTGGAAGCAGCTTATCCACATAGCTTCTATCAAGTGCACGTCACTTCACGGTGACACGCCTACCCCAACTCTCGATATCGAGTATGTGTGCATACGTATATCTGTCTGTCCGTCTGCAGAATGAAGTGATAAGGAAGCTTATGGGAAGCGAGCCACTAACGAAATCGGTTGGTCCGTAGAACTTGGGTTGTCAATGTTTTGCAATGTAACAGTTGTGACAACACCCCGACGGCTATATAAATACCGACTGAGCACACTCTCGATCATTTCACACGGTGGTGCAGTAGCAGCTGGAGAGCAGTGTAGGGAAGAGGGGTAGTTAAAGGCACGCTCCGAGTCTTGGGCCACACACCTGTCCCATACGAGCGTAGTATACAGGCGGAAAACGTTGACGTCGCGCCCCTTTTGCGGCGGCTTGAAAGTGCGCGACAAAGGCGCAAGGAGCTCGTCTCAACCCGCAACTCACACCTTCGTCCGCAAGCCCCACCCTTCCGCTGTCGGTTGCCACGTGGCGCTGCTTGAAAAGCGCGGGCGCATTTGAGGCAGCGGTCCCATTGCGATCTGTGTCATTGGCACTGGAGCAACTGGAGCTAAGCAAACTCGTCCACCGCGCCCTTTCTCTATTCCGAAACGGAATGCGCCTAAAATAGAGGAAGTCCTTATTTGGGGCGTGACCCACATTTCACTGGATACATAGAACTGAAAAGTCGCCGAATGGTCGGACACATATTCATCCATGACGACACTTCCACCACATGGTGTGGCCAAAAAAGACGTTCTGCTCTTGACGCATATTAAGAATCTTGCCGTCGCAGACTCTTCTCTACCGCCCTCACCGTCCTCAAGATGTGACGTCATCTTCTATTACCGTTTACTCAAGAAGGCCCACCGTCGTTCCAGCCTGGGGTTGCTACGATTTCTTGATCGGATCACTGATAGATTGGTTCCTAGAGACAGTAGCTCTGAATGTGCAAGACCCCTTCCGAGTCACCTTCCAGATAATGTCGCACTGGTCCATGATTCGTCGAGGACCATGTTCAGCTCGGACCGTGCACAAGGTCCCATAGCGAATTCTTGTGATATCATCGGTGGTAAGCTGTCAAAACGTTCATATCAGAT